TTTCATTGTCACACTTCATGCCTATTAAAATTTAAAATACGTCTTTTTTTAGCCTACCTCGATCGTCCACTAGTGGAGTACCTTCAAAGCAAGCGCAACTTGGATGCCTTCATTTCTCGCGTTGTGGTGAATTGCCTTGCCCTCGCCGACAGCGCAATCACCCTACGAAACGTCAGTTTTCCTCAGTGCACTAAAATTAATCAGACTTGGCAAGATTCACTGATGCATAGAAGCATACATGCTTCTTTTTGCGTAGGCTCTTCCCCGGTTTGGGCGTCTCATTGCCTCAATGAATCGTGTAGGTCCCTTCCCTCTGCTCTGGCCCCTCTTCGGCTGTGGGGAGTTGCCTCAGTCTTTCTGCAGGTGAGCTGTATATCTGAAGCTCACTCCAATTTGTAGAATGTGTGCGGTGTTTTCGGGCACCTATTGCCTGAGCAGAACTGTAACTGCGGTTAGACGCAATTTGAACAACCATGCTCGGCGCTACCATCTCAGTCTTTCCACCGGTGAGGAGGTGTCCACTTCCTGCCTTCTTATTGGTGCAGAGCAGGCGCCGAGTGATTGGCTGACGCCACAGATCAGCCGGTGGATTGCACGGTCGATTTTAGTGACGGAAGGCTCGCTTTTTCCATCTGGCCATGAGCCTCATGATGTGAGCCATTCAGCCAGTTAGATGGTTTTCTTCTTTTGAGTTTATTGACAATCTTTATTTAATCCAGATTACACTGATGCCGCTACCACTCCCAACACTAAACTCCACTGAACCAGCTTTCCTTCTAGAAATCCCGGTTGAAAAATCAGGCGGCAAGGTGGAGTTATGTGAGTTTTTTCCGATGCAACTGGATCATGTGCATGGTCGTGCAGTGCCTAGTGCTCCCCGTGGTTGTTTTTCCAATTCGGCCATCACATGGCAGTCAGATGCATTTCAACAACCCGTGTCCATATCACCAATTGCCGTAGCAAAGGGTTGTTTAGAAGGGAAAATCCCCATTGAAATGCACTTGATAAAGTAGCTTCATATAACTGTTTTCCGTATTTGTAACTTCTATCGACATTGGTGCCATTACCGGTTTCATGTCGTTAATGAAACACTTTATGAAAGTTTCGACTCATTATATTCACTGCCGGCTATTAACCAGAACGCGAGATCGGAGATGTCGTTAAGATTCCGTCCGGTTTTCATGGCCTATTAGAAACCACTAGAGATTCCTCCATTTGCAGTTAGATTCCAGGTGTTGATGTCATGAAGTTTAATGAGTTTACCAGCGCAGCTCCCAAATTATTCTCAAAACTGTATAAACTATATGGTTCGGGGAATAGCCTTATTGTAAGCATAAAAAAGCGCTTGAATTCTATGAACGGGGCCTGTGCAGTCCAGTGTATTAACGTATCGCTCTGCAACAGTATCTTCATTGCCTCTATCTTCCACTTTCCAGACATAGTCCATCTCACTGCCTTCTCCGACAGTTGTGTCGACGCGGCCGAGATTTTTGCGTCTTCGATCAGTCTCCTCTACTCCACTGGTAAGCAAGCAATTAAGCTACCCAGATCTCACAATTAATTTTCCAATCTTCTCTGTTCTCTCTTGATAGATACAGAAACACCTGGAAAACCCCGCATCCTGTGGAACTGCTTCTTCACCTTGCCTGATCTTTCCAACGTAGCCTGTCGAACCCTCGGATATGACTACGGACTCGGTGAGGAGGGGGTTTTCGTAGTTCCTGGTCTCGATGCCTCCATGTTCATGGACAAAGCTGTATCTGAGGCAGGTTGAATTGTTCATTGGTTGTTCATTGTCCTTTTGTAAACCTGTAGCCTTCGAGCCCTTTCTGACGATTTTTAATAATGGATGAGCCCCAATATAATATTGTTACAAATGCGTATACATAAGGCCTTTTAGGCTCCCTATAGAAGTGACATGAACGGAGTGTCATCATTAAGATGGTGACCTTGACCCATGGGTACTGCGGAGCCTCCATAGTTATGTCTTTGTACTTCCTTTATTTATAGTAGTTTTCATTGGCAATCCTCTAGACTTGCTGATTAAAGCTAAATTTACCATAGGGGAAAATTTTTTTGGTTAAAATTAGGCAGACGCGTGTCTGACTTTAGAATATGTAAATGTGGAGTATTGAAAAAGGGCAGTTTCATTATCTCGGTAGTAAGTGACTATAATAACGACAAGGGCTTTTGCTTTCTCGGTTGTTGGGTTCCCCTTGAAGCCTTCTTTTTTGGTGCATAAGAAAGAATCACTGTATCGTAAAGTTCTTTTTTCTGTAACCAAAAGGCGTCAACCATATTCTACGACGTCTTCTCGTTGGTGCGGCGCAGAGCAACACCGGCTGAAGGCGTTTCACAGGACGGTGAAATCGCAACCGCTGTTTCTGCGTCCGTAGTGTCACTGGAGCAACATTGGGACGGTGCCTTTCCTCCCCAACCACCTCGACCCGAGGAACTTGTTTTTGTCGAGGAGCAGACGCCGGCTGCTGCCATCGCTACTGACTCGCCCTCCACTACTATTACTGCCGCCACCTCGGATACACCGACACCCACTTCCGCTCACCCAAACGTCGCGCCTAGTGGCCATGGTGATTGGAGCGTTGATACGATAGACAACACTGTGGGGGAGAGTGAATTCACCACCGCGCTGGATCCTTGAGTTCTATCTGTGTTTCATTTTGGAATATGTTTATTAGATTTCAATTATTTACTATCTATTAATTTCCTCTTTAGTTTCAATGATAGTGGTTTTTTCTTGTGCTGGGCCGGGTTTGGGTGTGTCGGAAGTCTATTCATAGTGCAGTAAATTGAGAGCGGTGGCGATCAATGCGTTGCTGCCTCTTTGTTCTTTTATCCGTGAGCTTATGCGAGGTGACTGTGGCAGAAAGTGCGTGAGTTACGCTGAAAGAGGTTTATGTTGAGGGCAAACGGGTCTGACAATGCACGATGGCACATTGGGGGTGGTGTATGCTTGTATACTTGGTATGTATCGGTTGCGCAGGCTATCATCCGATGGCACTCAATGATGTCACGTTTGTAAAACTTCTAGTATGCGGATGAGTGTCTAGGGCAATGATCTTGATAGGGTCAATTGATAGACCTTTAATTATGTAGAGATTAGGCTGGTGATGGAGTTCGCCACAAAAAGGTTTTAATGCTATTTTTAGGCTGAGACCAGAGCACACGGCCATTCTATTTCCACAGAGAGGCACACCTTTGGGCCATGTCAGTGGCTCATCAGTCCTTCTGCAGGTCGGCAACGCATATTCTGCCCCAGTGTTATTATAATGCGATAGTGGTTTATCCCTCGGCATTTGCAAAACGCCACTTTTGTACTTTAAATTAGCCCCTTGTACCTCGCTGGTTGGGCTGGCCTTTTGGGCCATGTCAATAGTCCAGACACCTTCTCTGCGCTGAATATATATTCTGCCTGAGTATTTTGTCTTCTTTCGTCTTCAGGGAGTCCCGAGACGCTACATTATTGCTTCCTATCCAAGGAAGTCCAAGGAGCCACGGGGTTAGCAAAATCGGAATTTATCCATTTGTGCTCCTGGTAACGGCCTCATTTGAGGGTTTTATGATATTTTGCAGAGCTTGCAAAATTACATAAGTGCGCGCAGAAGCATGTCTTACATATTGAAGGAATTCATCGGATTAGCCTTATTCGTATAATAGGAAATAGATTCAGACAAATTAGGAAATAAAAGAACAAAAAAAGCAAAACAAACTGATAAAATTTCCTTTGCAAACAAAAACATGGTCTTAGCTTAAATATGCTTGTAATTATATTGCAATCCTGATATTTAATTATTTATTAGCAATTGAGCCAAAAATGCTGAAAAAACAAAGCGTATAAAAGATTTTTTGCCTTGCTTTGCGCTTTTTTAGCAGTTAGTGATGGTATAGAAATTTGGCTTTTTTCGCACTTTTGTACTGACCTTGACATTGCGAAAATAGCCCATTCACCCAAGCCCTTTGATTGGCGAGGCCACTGATCGCTTAATGTGTGAGTTATCATGGATAGATTTTCACCTGCCTAGGTTGCATGTTGTCTGAACATATATTTTATGGCGTTATTTGTTGTATTGAGCACATGTTTGCCGAAGGAAAAATGCCTATTTTTTATTTTGATACGTATTTCATTCTTTTATTGTATCCCTTTTCTGATTGGGGTGGGCTTTTATGGATTTGTTCGCCCCCTTTTTTTCATAAAATAATAGTTTGTCCTTATCTAACCTGAGAAACTAGCCCTTGAATTTATTATTCAATAAGTCGCTGTGGACTTCAGATAGTTTATGGTATCTTGTTACTAATTTCTTTGTAGTTGGAATAATGCTGTTGAACTTGCGTGTATCTTCAATTCGATTGAGCTCGAAAGTGGTGTTTTGATTCCTTTAGCACCTAGCCTTATGTTTATCGCCTTGTGCCAGGGGGGAAAATCGTTGCATCTAAACACTGCTTGCACTTAGACACCTTTTCCACGAAATTGCGGTTGTATTTGGCACTTTGGTCAACTGAGTCGATGTCGACTTTATTGTTCTATTCCAGATTCCGTCCGATGTCATTCTTTCGTTGTACATAATCATCCACTTCATTTAAATGAATTTGTTGTTATGGTCGAAATCAGTCCCTTTCTTTTATTTTATTTAAAACGAAATGGAGACTATTTGCATCCATTTTTTTGATTTTGCTGATGGTAGCAGCTTTTTAGTGGGTTCGTTACCTACAAATGTCGCAGTAGATAAATAATATAAGTAATCCCATTTTCTTTTACCTTGTAAGTGTGACTTTTATGCATTAGTTCTTATCGTTGGCTGAAGACCGCGCTCCGCAGTATATTGTCGAATATATTTGGCATGACTTGTTCAGTTATTAGTTTACAGCTCCTTTTATGGAACCATGGGTTATTTTTGTCCTCAGTGGAAACATTTCTCAATGGCAAGCTACTGCTGGACATGGACTACCGCAAGAGTTCCGTCACTTCTTTTCATGCGCTAGTGTCTGAAAAGAATGTCAAGTTCGGCCGACATTATGCAGCAAAATTTATCTTTTCATTCATTGTTCGCTTTTCAAGTTCCTAAAACATCTCTAGTCCTTCAAAGTAGTGAGCAAGCAATTCAGTATAAATGGTGAATTTGTTACAATGAAATAGCTGGTTCCAATTTGTCACTATAGTACAAAAGTTTCCCAACCAAAAAAGCTTGTTGTTGAAGTACCATTTCGTCGATCTATTCATTCAGTCAGCTTTCGGGCGCCACGAATTGTTGGTAGCTATGCTATTAAGAAAGTTTTAAAGGCTTAAGTTGTCCTCAGTTATTGTTTATATTGATCTCATGAAATTAAAAGCATAATTTGCAGCCCCTGTTTGCGTAAGTCAGGACGTCGTCAGAAAAATACCTTACCAACATCATCCTGCCTTACTGACTGTTGCAATGACTTGGGTCATTTCTCACTTACAGTAGCCATTTCGGTAAATCATCAAAGCCAGCACTATTTACAGCAGAATATACATTTGCAAAAAAGTGGAGGAATATGGTCATTGCTAGTTGTCCATGAAAACCAATACCGCGTTGCAGAAGAGAAGGTAGCAAGGCGTGCCTGTTAGGCCGATTAAAACATTTCTGTGGGTGCGTATGCGACGTTTTCGTGGATTTAACTTGTAATGGGGATCGTCTCATAACACACACCTCATTCATATAAAATATGGGACGTCGTCTTTACTTAATTTGCCCACATTACGTGCATTAAATACAATAGCAGGTAAAGCTAGCTATGCGGAAGTCTCATTTAAATGGGAGGGAAATGAGCGGTTTTCCTAAGAGCAAAAAATTTATTATTATTAGAATTTCAAATTTATCCACATAAGCCTAGCCGAAGTTTCCCCAATGAAACCGTTCTCAGCCTCGGCTATCAAAAAACTTTTCTGTGACCGTTCTGAAAATCGGATGAGAATGAATCTGGTATTACCGGCTTGCTAACTAATAATCATTGCAATGACGCCTCAAGCATATTACAGGGGACGTTGGGGCCAAGCTGCAACTTTTGCGTCTGCAAGAGAACAAGTTTTTCCACGTTTACACCATTCACATGATTTGCGGCGTCCGATTATCGCACTGTACTTAACGTTTTCCGTGGATACAAGTATCCAAACGCTTTCATTGGTAGGAAGTTTGTTCATCATCATATTATCGCATATATGTGCTCACTACCGCTTTTTCCTGACATCATAATGGACGGTGTCTGAACAGGGTCATGATTTATTCGCTGGCTGTACGTGGGCAATAGGGAGCGTACCGCATTAACTACTGCAAGTAGCGCCGCATCATTTTTATGTGAGTCTGTGAAATTAAACACGTCGGTATCGTATTTCGAGCTAGGTCAGCTGGTAGGTCATACGGTAAAGGTACTACAATCAAGATGCTAGGTTTTCACTCTCACGTCCTGAAGACTGTATGCAAAGGAGCAGAGTGACTTATCAGGATCATCATTAACCTTGACGCTAACACCAATACGGCCCATGGAGTGGCCAATTGTTTTTTTTTATGCCATTATTTGTGTCGATCTTAACGCTATTAACAACAGCTATCAAAGCGAACATTAGTTTAAGGGGTCAAATACTAGGACCAGCGTAATCATTATAAGTTCAGCCATCAACTTTTGGGTGAAGTGGACTATATAAACGAACTAGAACTTTACCAAAAATGTGAAAGGTTCCTTCTAAGCAAATTCCTTCAGTTGGTGTTCGATGGTCATCTCCAGTTTGAGGAGACATGACAGCATTCTCATTTATCATGACTCGTGAGCAAATTTGGTGTTACTGACGTTGCTTATTTGTATAAAATACTTTTTTGACCTAATACAAGCATTCTCAAACCTCTTTATTGTGTTTGGTATGCGCGCATTCTCAATATCATCGAGGTTTGCGCGACTCGTCCATTCAGAATGGTACTAGATGAGTTGTGAGCTTCTATAGTGAAGCTGAAAAGCAGGAATGACTACTTGAAGCTCTGAAAGGAATGGCGTGTATTAGTCTCTGTGCTGGTGAAGAGGGAGGCTGATTCAGAATATTCTTCTAGGTTTCGACGAAATCTCCAAGGTCAAAGGGGCTACCTGTGCCTTAGACCACTAAGATGCAGTGGAGGTTTTTATCTCTCTACTCGGCACTCTTGCTTCTCATCGCATCACCTCTGTTGAGGCCGTCCGCGGTGGCTTTGGCGACAACGGTGGATCTGGATCTCCATGCGCAACTTCTCTCCGAGGAACTAGCTTGTGATTTCGATAACATTACCTACTGCGGTCTGCACAACAATGGTGGTTGGAGTTTTAAACAGAGCCTTCTGGAGCTTGTGCAACAACTCACTAATGTGAGTGCATATTTGACACTTCTTTGAAGTCTGTTTAAAGCGCTTGGCTGTATATTGTTAGCGCTATTTACTATCCTTTGACCTTGAAGTAATCCGGTTAGCAACTTTTTTAATTTGCAAATTTTTCTAGCAGTTGAGTCGTGCACGTTTGTGTTTGACATGTGTTTGAAGTTAAATTGATGTATTTTCTCCTTCTGTTGATAGTTGAGTTTGCTTCTCCCATAGCTTAAGCATTTTCTTCACCAGTTTACCTCTTTTTGTTTTGAAATCTAAATGTCGAGAGACCGCGAACTTGAGTTATTTTATTCTATCCCTTTTCAATGCAAAAAATCTCGCTCAAAGTTTACATAACCACAGAATAAACCTCCTAACTTCCATAGTTAAGCTACACAAACGCGCGTGATTCTTACTGTGTAATACTCTCCGCCTAGATTTGGTTCGAGAATAGTTAATCTACCTAGCCTCTTGTCAGGCTCCTCCCGATCACGAGTGATTTACTTTCTATAGGTCCTAAACAACACCCAAAAAGTAAGCTATCATGCGCTATTGCCTTTTAAATTGTGTTGCCTCGCGCTTCTTCCAAATCCGATTAATTATTTGTACTTGCCCAGCTTTTGGCTCACTGCATTCTGCTTCACTTAAGGCGAGAAGCCCTCCATGCATTTTCTGCCATGCGTCTACCGCACTCATCACATGACTTGAGCTTTATATGAACTATTCACGGGACTGACTGCCTCAAATTATCTCTTTTGCTTGGCAATTGAGACGCGGAAAAAGATTATGCCACAGGCCTTATTTTGGCTCCGTTTGCACTAGGTAGAAATAACGGTCAGATAAGGTGAAACCTTGCTGCGATTTGCTAATCTCCATTGATTAGTATTGTGAGGTTGTTCGTCCTTTTTGTGTAGTTCGTCTACGTTTTCATCATATGCCTTTCGCTTTGGGCGTATCTCTAGATTTGTTGCCCCCTTGAGAGCGCATTAATTCATGTCGGTCTTCAGGTAAGGCTTGAGTACTAGTGGTATAGGTAGTGTGTGCGGTGCTCGATGTCGTCGGCTTGGAAATCGAATCATGGGTAACTGAAAAGGCTCGTATAGTGTATTAGCTCTCATCTTATTTTGGTTGCTAACTTCTGTCACCATGGGAAGAGCCCTGGATGCAATGATGCTAATGCGTTTCATGTCTCAATGAAGTTCATTTATTATTACCCTCTATGGTTGAACTCCATTAAAAGGCAAAAGTTATTAAAATTTGCCCATTGAGACGAAACTGGATCATTTATAACTATTATCTCCCGTTTTAATCAGTCGTTGTGTTTAATCATGAGTGTTCTTTGGAGCTTTTCTGAGAGCTGCACTAGTTCCCGCATGCTTCACCGTACTGCTATAAAAGTATCGCCTGGGTCATCAGTGCCATCCCTCCAAAATCGCGTCAGGCGTTTTCACACCTGTTTCTCAGATGCTTATAGCATCGTTTCAGTGCGATGGTTGCATGGTCTCAGGTAGTGCTGCACTTTAACCAGGCTGCTGGCTCCTCTATCTCACTGTCTACTGCAAACCAAATCGCCAATTTGCGTTTGATAATTGAACGGGCCTGTGGCCTTTCCCTTCCATGCCTGTAGCTGAACTGGACAGTGACCTTTTTACCCCATAAGTGTTGGGGTTTAGTCCTGTCATGCGAGAGACACTTTGTGTGTACCGCCCACCTCCTTGTTACTCCCCATTCTGTCACCAGCCAATGCTGATTACGCGCGTGTATGTATCTCACATTTCCATGGGCAATAAAATATGCTTTTGGGAAATCTCATTAGTCAACCGATTGTTTTCTAATCTAGCTTATTTCTGGATATTTAGTGTGGTACTCCAGGTTGTTTTTGAAGAAGGAATAACCCATACTGGTAAAGACGACTCATTATTTAGCGTATAGGGGGACGGGTTGGACAGTCATGCCAACAATATAGAGGTAAAATCTGCAGAGGCTGAAGAGTCCACCTTATTTTACTAAACAGTTCCTTCTCTTGAACTTGGTCATCGATGCTCCCGCCAGTCATTCTTCTGCTTCAGTCTTAACGAGTCTTCTCTGAATTGTAGTTAACTGCGAAACAAGAGTAACAATATCGTGATATCGCAATACAGTGGGTCCCGTTTCATTAGTAATACCACAGGCTATGGTTTTAGCTTAGTTTGTTGGGTATCGCTACTCTCGAAAGGTGTTCTCTGTTGAATTTCGATTGATCTAGGATAGAGTGCTAAGTGCTGGCCGCTGTTCTGGATCCTTGTTATACAAGTCACTTCTTTTGGTTGCATTTGCCTAAAAGCCACGTGAAGAGGAGGGATACCATGTGTTTTGCTTTTAATTTCGTCCTATTAGTTCCCATTTTTGCTGTACTGGAAATTAAGATGCCTATGGCGATGTCAATGCTTGTTTTTTGGTCTTTATTGTGGTGAGTCCACGTACTTGCAGCCATTCACAGCGGATCCCTTCTTTTAGTAGGATTTGAAGTTGGCAAATGGGCAATCAAGCTAGGATTTTTACTCATTTGTTTGATTTTACTTATCGCTGTCACCTAAAGTGCAACAAGGCATGCCGGGATGGAAGGTTTATCAGTATCTCACTGAAGAGTTAGGAGGTTGTGAGCATGGACGGGGCCAATATGGTGTCATCTCTCGGAGGCTAAAGAGGCCACGCGTTCGAAGCAAATGTCTTTAAACCACGCTCGGTTTCGTACTAAGTATGCTAAATATTACCGCAGCGTCATGCATTTATGCGCTCTCACTGGTGTCCTTAGTCCTCGCGGTGATGATGACGACGATGAACTATTCCATAAACAAAACGGTTAAGGCCTAGTCTCTGTCCGCAAAATCGTAGCCAGGTCCAATTTTACGGTGACTATTAAGGTCACTCCTCCTTCATTCTAGGTAAACTATGACCCTAGTATAAACAGGGGCTCGTTTCGAGTGAATCATGGCCACTAACTGCGCATAATTTCCAACCTAGCAACGCTATACATTTAAGCTCACATCAGCCTGCCACTTTGTCCGGCTTTAAAATTACCAACTTTTTCATTAAACATTTATATGAGCACGTAGGGTTGAGTATTTCAAGGGTTGAAATTCCGAAAGTGAGTAAAAAAGACGATTATTTAATCAAAAATAAGGACAGTTTCGAAAAAGGACTGTTAGTACCTAAAAGATTAAGCCACTATTTTACATCATCAAATATATTTTAGATAAAGCTTTTCTATCTTCAGCGTACGGTGTGCATATTTCCCTCTCTTGAGAACTTCA